TTTTTTGTTCCATATTGTTTTCAACTACTTTGATGGAGATGACTTAGAGAGCACATAATTGCATATCAATTATACATTAAACAAAGAAATATACTAATAAAACAAACCAAAATAGTCACGCATAGTATTAAACACATTTCTTAAAAACGGAATTGAATGTAACACTACAGGTTATTAAAAACTTCTTTATAAACCACTTTATGAGTGGAATTCGCCGTCGAACCCCTATCATTGCATATAAGTATTTTCAAACCATGCCTATTGGAAACTCTTGAAACCGCAGCATAGAGTTGTCCATGCGTAAACACAGGTTTCTTCACCAACAAACCCACACGGGATAACGATTGGCCCAGACTTTTATTTATAGTCATGGCATATGAAATCATTATGGGGAACTGTCGTCTCTAAATCTGAAAGGCAAGTTGGCATCTGAAGGAGTCAAGGACAATCTTGGAATTAAGACTTTCTGTCCAGCACTAACACCAGTCAATATTTTCCCCTCTAAAACATGATCGCAAAGCCTGGTGAGAATCATCCTTGTTCCGTTACACAAACCCATGGAATGATCAATATTTCTCAGAAGCATCACTGGGGTCCCGACCTTTAACGTCAAGCTGTGATTCGGTACACCGGACAATTTAATGCTATTTAGGAATTCCGGGGTGTGCAGTTCTGCCATGAGATCTGTTGTAGAATCTACCTTTGAGACACTATCAGAACTAAGATACGTCCCAGATACCTCGCCAACGTTGAGACCCATCATATAATCATTAACAGATTCAATCACGGTAAGTGTTGGGGCCAATATTGCACGGTCACGGAGACAACTAATGTCATTTGTTGATGCAACATACTCTAGAAAGATGCTTTCAACAATAGCAGCTACAGGATCATCATGTGTATGAATCAATAAGTCGTCAGGAATATCAATAGAACCAAACCCATCATTTTCTTCACCCAATACGCCGTCTCCAATACTTGAAATCCACTTCGAAAAAACCTTCAAATCATAAGATTCATCCTCACTTGTCAAATTTTAGAGACGCATGTTTTTGTTCAAACGAAGAATAGTGCAATGAGACCACAAATATGACGAATTAATGGTGGCATTGACAACATCCTGTCTGCTACCATTAGTTATGATAGGGAGGACATGACAAAAGTCTCCCCCAAATACCACAGTCTTTCCACCATAAGGCATAGTGGCACTATTTTCTTTGTGAAATTGCATTATATCCCTCATGCTGCGATCCAACGCCTCAAAACAAAATTTGTGCAACATTGGAGCTTCATCCCAAATAATTAGCTTGCATCGTACAATAAGTTTGGCAAGAGGACTACCCTGCTTGATATTACATGTGGAGTCTTCATTCAAACTAATCGGGATTGCAAATCGAGAATGTGCAGTGCGTCCACCGGGCAATAGAAGGGAAGCAATCCCACTGGATGCAACATTTAGGACGATCTCACCCTTAGACCTAAGCGCTGCCGATAATGTCTTCCACACAAAAGTTTTCCCAGATCCACCATATCCGTAAACAAAGAAAACCCCACCAACATCGTCATGCACATAATGCATTATGGTTTCATAGACACGGAGTTGCTCGTCTGTCAATGAATGAAACAATGATGTGTGCTCTTCAGCCATTGCGGTGCGGTCATAGCTCAACTCTTCGTATATCATTCTATCATTGGAAGAAAGAAGGGAATCAAGCAAAACAGTTGGCATTGGAGGGTAATCTCGCAAACTCTTGCCCCGACTTCGTAACAATTGTTCTATTTCAGCCAAAGCTAATTTCTCCAACTGGTCATCGTTTAGAATTAATTCTGAAAGAAAGATAACACTATTTAGTCCAAAGGGTTGAAAGGATGGAAAACAAAATGAGGCTTTATAATCCAGTGCACTTTATTTAATGGAAGTAAGCATCAATCTTGTATAGGATGTGACCTGGATGTTGCAACACTCGCCTTCGCTTGTGTTGAATGTCATCTGCCATGAACCTCCAACAATGTTGCCAAACAAATTCTGGTCTAGACATTGATTCCGTCCACAACAGAATAACAAATAATATCCTCATAAAAAACGCTGAAGAGAAAAAGCTAGCTTCCTTGAAAGCATCAATGAACTCCTTATCATCATCCAGTAAGCCCAATGCATAACACGCTTCACGAAATGTAACGTATGTCACGCCAACAACAGTTCTCAAATCTTCGTGTGACATTGCACCACAAATGTGATTCAAAAGGCACCTTATGTAATAAGATTCATCACTGCCCGGATGAACATAATCAATTCTGCCAATAGCGAAGCCTTTTACCCTGGGAGCCCACTCCCTCGTCTTTTTCTTCCACGCGTACTTCTCGGGGAACTCAGCATATGTCAAAGATCTAGCATTAGGAAATTTTTGATGAGCCTCCATCCATGCCGTGAACATACTGTCTTTAACGGACGTTGCATTGACGACCGATTCCAGCGGTTGGTCATCATGAAAAACAATAGATTGTTCGTTGGGCAAATGAAAGCTCAATCGCTCTACTGGCAGGTTTTTGTATTGAATTTGAAAACCAAAAACCCTCCAAGCGGTCTCACATGAGGAAATGTATTTACAATCATAATACATTTGAATCTCATCAACAGACTTCTCTTGCGATTCACCATCCACTGTCTTGTAAAAAGCAGTTGTTACTCTGTCACGCCCCTTGTTTATGTACTTAAACAGATATTTTATGGACCTCGACTGGTTACACCACTCTACATTCATATGAGCACCATATTTCATCAACAAATATCTATTGTGGGGAACAACAAACCTATTATCCAAATCCACATTGTTTTTATGGATCACACGTCTGTTATGACAACTTTTATACACAGGGTAACCGTCATCATCAACTGATGTTTGAGAATTCCATATTTTGGAAAAGTGCTTAGTACACTTTATGGTTGGACTCGGGTCGGGCCACCCGGCCCGTGGACCGGCCCGGCCCGCTACTGTGCGGGACCGGGACCGGCCCGGTTCTCGGGTCCGGGTCGGGCCTAGGGCCGGGGGTAGGGCAGGTCCGGGCTCGGGTCTCAATTTTGGTGAACCGGCCCAGCCGGGTCGAGCCCGGGCCCGGGCTCGGGCCAAATTGAATTTTTTTTATTTTTTTTCATTTTTGGGGTTCCACCCGGGTTGGGCTTGATGGGTAGGATGGGTTTGGGGGGTTTGGGAGGGTGGGGGGTAGTGATGGATTCGGGCCGGGTCGGGCCCGGGCCGGGCCTAGGCCCGATCAGGCCGCCGGTTCAAGAACAGTGGGCCCGGGACCGGCACGAGGGTTGGACGGGTCCGGTTCGGGCCGGGCCACCCGCCCGGGTCACGGGTCGGGTCCGGTTCGGGCCGGGCCGATTAATTTTTTTATATATATAATTTATATTTTATATTTTATAGTTTATAGTTTGATACGAGTATTAAAAACAAACTTCAATTGCATTTATTTGAAATGAAATAGGAACTACATTTGAAAATTAAAACAAACTTTAAGAGATAAACATTTTGAAAATTGTAATCAATCGGAACTTCCCGCACCTCCCGATCCTTTGGCTTTGTCACATGACTTCATATGCTTGATTGCCATCCCGAATCCGCCTGAAGCCCCCATAATACATTTTTTTCGCACCATTTACAAATTGCGTACCACATCCCGGTCTTCGGGTCCTTCTGCTTATCAAAATTATACCGTATAATGGCATTTTGATTTTCCATCTTAACTTCTTGGAGAAGAGAATTAGAGAGTAGATATATAATATATTGGAGAATAAGAGAATTAGAGAGTAGAGAGTTAAGAATAAGATTTAGGAAGAATTGGAGAAGAGATATGAAAAAATGTTTAAGATTAGGAGTATTTATAGGTTTTTTTACCCCCCACCCCCCCCCCCCACCACCCAACCCCCCCGGACCCCCCCTATAACCCACCCAACGGCTATATAGCCGTTTGGGTTGTCCCCAGCCCCACCCCCAACGGCTAGTAGGAGCCCAACCCAAAAAAAAAAAAATTTTTTTAAATTTGATCAAACCGGACCCGGGCCCGGGCCTGACCCGGCCGGGCCGGGTCACAAAATTGCTGAACCGAGCCCGCCCCGCCCCTTCCCCCCGGTTCGGGCCCAGACCCGATCCCGGACCGCCCGACCGGGCCGGTCCCGGGCCCGCACAGTACCGGGCCGGGCCGGGTCACGGGCCGGGTGGCCCGAACCGAATCCATCCCTAGTGGGGGGTGATGGGGGGGTAGGAAAGCAAAAAAAAATCCAAACCGGAGGCCCGGCCCGGGCCCGGCCCGGACCCGATGGCTACCCGGGCCGGTCCCGGGTCCACCATTCTTGAACCGCCGGTCCACCCGGGCCTAGGCCCGACCCGAACCCAGCCCGGACCCGAGTCCACCCCTACGCCCGGGCCTAGGCCCGACCCGGACCCGGCCCGGACCCGAGTCCATCCCTAGTACACTTCCCATCAACCATGCATGGTGCAGAATTGACGGCAACACCACAAGGTCCATGCAACATAAAATCCCTTCCTGCTGCATAATACAACGGGTCACATTTAACATCCGGGATTTCTGCAGATATCACCTTATCAATATCTTTTGGAGCTGACAACTCATCCTCAGCAGACAACCACAACAAAATATGTGCACGAGGCAATCCGCGCTTCTGAAATTCTTTGATGTGATGGGTTGGGGCAGGGGTTAGAGGTGACTAGCGGATGGGCTGAGCATGGGTGCGACACTGCAATAGCATCACTGTAACGGTGTCGCTTTGGCGACGTCACTTTGGCGGCGTCACTGCAGCGGCGTCACTGCGGCAGCAGCACTACGACAGTGTCACTATCATGTCACTATGTCATGATCACTATGATCGGCGACGGTCTCCAGCGGCGACGGTCACCAGTGGGAGGTGGTGGGCGTGGTGGTGGATGTCACTGTATTTCATGTAAGTGTAGCATTTCACTGTAGCAATGGGTAAATAAGTAAGTTTGTTAATTATTAGTCACTTTTTTGGAATTTTAAAAAATGGTCACTTTTTTGTCAATTGGCTCTTTAATACTAAATTAGTAGGAAAGAAAGGGAGAAAAATACAATAAGAGAATTTATTTTAAAAAACTGAGGCAAGTGAAATTTCATGTTACAATGGGCACTAGCAGAGGGAAGCAACATAAGCAACAAACTACCCCTTTTTACACATAATTATTGTAGCAAAAGACGGGATGATCACTTGACAAACATTGGCATCTCTCATCAAGCCATCTTCGTCTTTGCTGGTGAAGGGAGCAACTGCAAATTGATAAAGATTACTACAACTGTTCTTTATGCAAATTATTCATAAAGAATAAATATGAACATTCCAGCAACTGCAACATTACTGCACTCTTACATGTATGTAGGACTGAATTCGGTTCAAGTCCCAAACCAATCCCATGAATCAACAAAGCGAATCGAATTATCGGTTTTCCAATTCAACATAACCAAAACCGAACTAATATTAAAACGGGTCCCAAGTTTTGGTACCCGATTTTTCGGTTCGATTTTTCAGAAACAAAAAAAATGACTCAATAAGTATAAATATATTTGAACTATTACCATTTGACAGTGCCCAATGGAACTTGCCCATATTTGAGCCGATAATCCAAATGGTAGCTGCCTCGTAGGCATATGGGCCCATTTAGCCGAGGCTGCTTCAACATATGATAGGAGATCTAGCTTATAAGAAGTTTTTAGGAGCAAGAACCACACCTTTTCTGGTGTGGGACAAAGTAGTAATAGGGAAAAATCAAAATTGGAAAAACAAAACATACACCCAGCGACGGGAGTCGAACCCTTGACGTCGGGATTGCATATTCCCCCGCAAACCATCTCATAAACACGCCTTATGTGTTCATTATATGCTTGACGTTTGATTATACCTTATTAAATGTCTTGAATTACTGTTTATTATTAATCATCATTTTCATTTACCCCAGTGCCGCAAAGGCTCCCACCTACGGTGGGGTAAGGGTGGGTCGGATGTACGCAGTCTTACCCCTGTACTAAAGCACAGAGAGATTGTTTCCGGATGACCCATAGTGAAATCACGTCCAAAATTGCTGCTCCATAACAAAGGAGCACAGACAGTTTAGTGAGCCATTTTGCTTTATTCCATCATAATCTCAAGCCAAAAAATAATGAATCTTTGGCTCCGTTGCAAATGATGGAAATACTGTTTATCATTAATATTAACAATTATTATTAATATAAAATTGTCGGTTCGGTTTGGTCCAAACCGGTTCTTTGTGTACAAAAACCGAATCCGAACCGATTTTTTTCAGGTCCCAATTTTTGCGTCCCAAATTGGTTCGGTTCAGTTCGGTTTTTTTTTCAAAAACGGTTCGGTTATTTTCGGTTTTCGATTTGAAATGTCAACCCTACATGTGAATGTTTTACACCTTAGCCTCAAATTTGCCTCGTTTGGTTTTCCTTGCATGCATACACAATTCAGATGAATAATAAAAGTTTACAAATATGATCCTTACAGCCCATACTAAGTAGAGTGATTAAAGTGGGACTATAGGTTATAAAATTACAAATTTGTGAAAAGAAATCATTGTATTTATATTTCTGTTAAGAAATATGAGAAAAAAGAAATTGCTCTAAATAGGAGTAAAACATAGACAAAATGCACAAATGGAGTATCGATGTTTTATTCTCAAAATATGAGTTATTTGATTCTATTAAGAGCATAAAACTTTCCCAATTAAGAGTGAACGCGTCCTATTTTAGTAAGAAAACATCGGTGGTCCTATTTGTGCATTTAATCTATGGTTTAGCCTTGTTAAAGGGGTTTTCTAAAAAAAAAATAGCATTTGAAGTGTGTACCAGCCTGTCGACATCATGTGATAGGTTGCCAACCAGTTTACAGTAATTTCAGAAACCTAACTATGGTACAAATCAAGATATGTAGCAATGGAGGTGCTAGGTATAACAGGAGAGAGAGAGAGAGAGAGAGAGAGAAAATACGTTAAAGAGTGCCAACTCTCCAAGTCCCAAACCCAAACGATAATTCCAGCCTCCCTTTTATTTCCCCCCCTTACCTTCTATTTATGCTACTCTTATTATTATTATTATTATTATTATTAATATTCTCAGCATATTCTGCCTGGATCCTATCATCATGTTTGGTCAATGACGCACAACATGCAATGTTTAAAGTGTGTGTGAGTGTCTGACACACACATTTTGAGGTTTCTGTATTACTCATGTGATAGTGTGATATCGATGTTTAAATTCAGAAACATTGGGAATCAACAAACACTAGACTACTAGAGTTTGGAGAAAGCTTGAATTGGAGTGGAATACACTCTCTTAGACTCACCACTTAATGCATATTCTTGTTATTCTGGCAAAGCATAGTAAGAAGACTTCTGATACCAAACAGAGCCTAAGTCTTAGCATCTTAATCTGAACAATTGAATTCAATTCTGACCAATCCAAACAAGGCATTTATGTAATAAACTCCTACAGGTTACCTGATAACAGGATATGAGAGAGCTGACAAATCCAAAGGCTCCTGTCACACGTGGAGTTACTTTTTGAGGGGCCAATTGAAGTAACCCAACCGCAACAACAATGTCTAACCCTGCTTTGACCAGTGCGACAGATCTATCGTTTGACTTCTTAAGTTTACTGTGATATTGCTCGTTCTGCATTTATGCCAAACACACGAAACGTTACATGCTAAGGAATAGTGTCACTTCCACCTATTTATTCTACGAGTATATTTGGGTAATTATTCCTCCCTAATGTGTTTCCCTAGTGTCACCTCCCTACTTTTTATACATAGCATTTTCTAGGTTCTGAACACATCCTACGGAAAAAGTGAGAAATATCAAAACCTGGTATTTGTTAGTATTTTTAAGCTCAGCCTCCAACTTCTTCATTGATGCTGAAAGCCTTCCGAGCTCCCCGATCTGGGCAGTACTAACAGAAACAATTTAATAATATAATTAAAGAAAATACTAACCAAACAATCATAAAATATAGATAAATATTAGTAGAAATACATTTTTAGGTTAAATATTATAAGAGGCACAAAAACTGGACCTCAACCAAAGTGGTGCAGACTGATGAACCCATCCAACAAAACAGGGAGATCCTACCAAGTAACTCAGCACGTTCTTTATTCTATATGCAAAACAAAAAAAAACACCCAAATCAGTTCAAATGACATTTTTTAGAAAAGAAAATATTCCAATAAATATTCAAAGGCCCGGGAATTAAGCTTATAACCTTGTATATGCCTGTCCTGCCAAGCCATACAATTTGATCCAAGAACAAGAAAGTGGATAGCAATGCATTCTTCGACTGAAACCATTATAAGTTTTAATGTCAGAAAAAAAAGTAATAGGTTTTCATTTTAAAAGAAACACTAATAATGCACTTGTCTACCTTTCCCAACAAGACTAGAGAAAGTGGGGTTCCCGGAGCACTTGGACTGATAAGGGCATGCAGATCATTGATGAACTGTAAGCAATAAGAACAATGTCAAAACAGCATAAAGTAGTAAACTTGTCTACCTTAGCGTAAATAGGTTTTCAAAAAATTAGACACTTGTAGCCACTATTCTAAACCCACTAATCATCATTAAAACATGTCACAGTGGTATCTGACCTTGAAAAGACGGAACACTTTGCGAGCCAAGCTAGTTGATTTATCAACATTTTGAGCTGTTCCAGGCTCTCCATTACTCAAGAACTTTGAACCATATTGAATGGCTCTGCATATTTTGTCCCTTGCCTCTGCTTTGTTCAAATACATAACAGCAAGAGCAAGTTCTGTCCTTGTTACATCTAAGGCGGTCATGATTTCTCACTTACACTACAAACTGGATAAACAAATGGTTATTAATATGAAAACTACTCCAGGATATGATTTAAAGTTCTGGAATACATGAATATAAATAAATCGCTTCAACTAGGAACCTTAATATATAACACTGGCAACCATGAATTTGGGCAAATCCGATTCAGTAACAACTCAGATAGTCAGATCTATTAATATATAACAACATCCATGCCTTAGTCCTAAAAGAGTTTAGGGTCATCTAACATGAATCGAACACATGAAATTGGAGCTACAAAGATAAGAAAGATTAAAATCTATTAATCTATTAATATATAAAAGAAAAGAAAATTCCAGCAGTGTTCCCACCTCAAGAGCTCCAGAGGTACCTCTAGAGTCATGTGCTAAGCTATGATATCACACCACCATAAATGCAAAGGCAAAAACACCATAAATGTAAAGGCAAAAAACACCATAAAATTACCTATAAATAGTACGGAGTAGCAAGTTTTGCCAAATGAACACAGCTGATGATTCCTTGGATTTTATAAAAACTGTGATGTTTACGTATCGTGAGCGTAAGTGTTCATCGTTCATCATGTAAAAAATACCTTTGAGTTTGTTCTTAAAAGCTTCAAGAATTTTTATGTAAAATTCCATAAAAACGTAGCAATGATTGCTTTAGATTACCCATTTTAGTGATTTTCAATTCATCATCTGGCTTTACTTTATAGAATGTATATATACACATAAAATAATAACAATCCTCAAATAAGGTATTGCAAATAGCACATATACATGTATCTATGTGCATATACATAGATATATACACCTGTGTAATGTATGTATGTATGTATATGTGTTTGTCTGAAATAAGTCAAGAAACAAACTTGTAACTACCATGATAAAAAGCAGATCCAACAAGGACAAATGAAAAATAACACAAATTCTGAGTCTTAAAAAAAAATTAGTGGATAGTCTTACCAAGAAACACAAAATCACAAAACACTTCAAAACAATTACTATAGTGAAGTCTAAACTCCAAACGACATAATTAAATATGAATATTTTTAAAAACTGAGAAATAAATATAAAGATTTCCATAAAGTAATTATAGAAATGCTAAATTTGATCAGAAAATGGTTTTTATAGACTAATGAGCTTGTGTTTTCAGAGGTAATCATTGTGAAAAATAATCAAAGACTACTGATCTATATCAAACATATTTAAGCAGAACCACAACGAATGCAAAATAATATTGTGCTTCATCTTTTAAGAAAATAATAAAATATATTCACCAACATATGCACCATAATCCAACATAAGCATGTTTTGGAAAAAAAAAATTAATAGGATTAGAAATTACCCTCATATGTTTGTATTCTGAAACAAAACAGAGACCTCTTTTTATACAATAGGATTAGAAATGACCCTCATATTTTCTGATTTAAGAAATTAACAACATCACGGAAAAAATACCTAGAATGCGGAAGAACATAAGCATCCAAGCGCCTACCTATGGAAGAAGTCGGTCGAAGCGGTCGATGGAGGGCACCTGGATATTTCTGTCTGTGAGCGATTTGGAGAAATGAAGGAGGATAATGGAGAAGTATTAGGGATTTGTTTGTTTTGTGTTGTTTTCATAGTGTTACTGTTAAGATGGTATTCCTCCATGTCTCTTTTCCTCTGATATTCTGATTGGATTTGCAAACTTCAGCACAAATGAAATTTAAGAAAGGGTTTTTTGAATTTGGGGTGTATAGAGGCCTAATTATATGTCCCTACCTCCGCCCAACAGCTCCAGAGGTACCTCTTGAGTCATGTGCTAAGCTATGATATCACACCACCATAAATGCAAAGGCAAAAACACCATAAATGCAAAGGCAAAAAACACCATAAAATTACCTATAAATATTACGGAGTAGCAAGTTTTGCCAAATGAACACAGCTGATGATTCCTTGGATTTTATAAAAACTGTGATGTTTACGTATCGTGAGCGTAAGTGTTCATCCTTCATCATGTAAAAAATACCTTTGAGTTTGTTCTTAAAAGCTTCAAGAATTTTTATGTAAAATTTGATAAAAACATAGCAATGATTGCCTTAGATTACCCATTTTAGTGATTGTCAATTCATCATCTGGTTTTACTTTATAGAATGTATATATACACACATAAAATACTAAGAATCCTCAAATAAGGTATTGCAAATAGCACATATACATGTATCTATGTGCATATACATAGATATATACACCTGTGTAATGTATAATACACATGTATATATATGTATGTAGATGTGTTTGTAGAGCGGAGGGCCTTATTTGAATGTGAAGTTAGGAAGGCTGGACAGCTTAACAGCAAGAGTACAAGTTTCAGACAGTGTAATGCCAAGCCTCAGAGCAAATGCAATCTCTTTCAGCAGCCTGCTCAGCACACTCAGTCTCTAAATCCAACACCTGGTGGCCCGAGGTATTTGATGACCATTTCTTCTATGAGACTATGACTTAGTGTCTGGAAAAGGGTTTCTCAAATATGACGAAACACTTTTACCAGCCCCAAAAGCAGGGGCTATGTGGACATATATAGCTTTAACCCAGATGATCTTACAGGAAATCATTTAGGGATTATCAAAACAAAGTGCAGGCATGTGTACACTCTTGGCTGCCGCCTGCGTCAAGCACGTGTGTATACTTATAGAAAATATAAATGTGCTCAATACCCCAGTGTGTTAGGCGTAGTTTTGTTTTGAAAAACTGACTTTCTTATATTTTGATGTGACGAAACAAATTCAAGTAGTAAATTGATGTATGTACATCCTTGTTTAACCTCATACTAAGAAGTACTCAGTATCTTATAAGAATGTTATTTTCAAAAACAATAAATTCAATTTCTATTTATTTATATGTATATAGAAATATTGATAAACTTTTTAGAAGTAAAAGATTTCGAAACTGATAAACTTTAAAATATATTTTCCCCCTAGGAGTTGAATGTAAAACTATTTTAAAATAATGAATATATTTTCAAAAGAACAAATAAATTGTTTGTTTAACAATTGCATATAATCATATTTTAAGTCTCTTTTCAATCGACCCATTTTCTTTGCATTTGAAATCTGAAAGTTATAAGGCCTCTCACGAATTCCCTTCTAAATCTTTTTCCTATTAAATTAAGAGTGATTTAGTTGAGAGTAAAAGTAGTACTGCCATTGCTAAAAACACCTTGTAAACTCAACTACCATTACTTGAGAGTAAATCTCTATTGCCATTGTTTTTTAGTATTGTCATTGCTATTTGTAAAGTAACAGTGAGATACCAAGTTTGTAGACTCAAATATTTTCACTCAAATTGCATCTCTTTCTTCCAATCTTCCTTATTGTTGCCAGCGGTTTTGATAGTGTGCAAACAATTTCTGTTCGCTACTAAAGCATGATCAAAGATGAAGACTTAAAGCTTTTTGTTCCATATGTAATGCGGTTATGATAGTGTGCTATAACTTAGTTAAGGTGCTAGTATATCTAATGTGGCTTTTTGACAAACACTTGGCGAGCATAAAATGCATATTGTGTAAGGAGTAATTTTGAATAATGAAGTGTGTGGTGGGAAATTGAATTAGATGAACAACGGAGTTATGAACAATTGCAGCCTGTAGTAACCAGAACGACGAAAGTAATGCGTATGTAAGGATGTACCTTGTGTGTAGAGCAGCAGGAAGGCCAACGAAGATTGTAGGAGTAGCAGATAAGCGAGGAGAGTGGATGTGCGGCAAGATGAGAAGGCTGGAGATCGTTTTTGGCGATCGGATGTGAAGCAACTGCGTCCACCGCTTCGGTCAAATCTGAAATCGAAAGGCTGCGATGAAAGTGAGCGCAGATTGCAGCCGTGAAGATATAGGGAGCTCTCTTCCGCTGATAGTCAAAGAGGGGGGATTGCAGGGGTCGTCGTTTTTACGTGAGTGTGAGGAATTAGGTACATGCTTTCTCGTTTTAGTTCCAACGGTCAAAATTTCACGTTTGCTGTCATTATAATTAATTCTGTATTAGTAAAAATAAAATAAAAATCAGATTATAAAACTTAGTAATTAGACAAATTTAACAATATTTTTCAAAAAAAATAATTCACATACATTAATAAATAAAATATAGTCAATCTAAAGTATATGAATAGTGTATATATTCCAATGTTGCAATTAATACGATACGGAGGATAGTATATATTTACTCAATACGACTGCCCTTTGGTATTACACTATTACCGGTTGCAGTTGGTTTTACCATGGTTATTTGGTCACTGAAAATTTTACCATGGTTAATGGTTTTAGGAAATACTCGTACTTCGTCGTCCCTTAAAATTTTGACAACTTTTCTTTTTTGGATATCCCACTAAATTTGACACTTTCCCTTTTAAGTAAAGAATTTGTGGTTCCGGTTAATTCTCTCTCCTCTGCACAAACCTCAACCACACAATTTTTACTTTATTAATCCTCGTACCGGTCAAACTTGATAAAGTTTTAAGAGATGGAGGTAGTATATCTTACGGAGTAAAACTTATACCACATCGCAAACATTAAATTTGAATTTGACAAACAATTCACACTCTTTTATGTTAAGTGCATTAATAGTAAATAGATAAAATGCATTTAATAGTAAAGAGGAAAATGCATTTATTTAATAAAGAAAAGATCTCTTTGTACACATTTTTGTGGATCACTATTTTATCTTTGTATATACAAATGTGTTAATTGTGTATCAAAAGTACACCAATAGCTCATTTGTTTAGATTCTTAATTCGAAAAATCTACTTTCTCACACGAGAATGCAATACCGCATTGAAATGCACAAACATAGTTTAGAAGACAAATATAACAAGACTCATTTAAACAAATGTAAGAAAATTAATTCAAGACTCATAAGCGAGATGTGTAAATTTCATAAATAGAGATGTATAAACGCGGATAGACTAGTTCACGCAATCACGCCACTTAAAAGTGAGCAAGGCTATTTAGTAACCTACACGAGTAGCTAACGATGGCTGAGTGAGATAGTTGAATTGAGATTTCAGGTTCAATTCTTGACAATGACAATGTGTGAGTTTTATCTATTGTGATGACTTTGTGCACCCTAGGCCCCACCACTCCATTCAAAAATGATTTAAGATCATACCATGAATTATTATTTCACCATTATATCGAGTCGGAGTATGGAATTCCACTATTTTGGGTTGAGTAAGGCTGTAAGGGCGATCATTTAGTTTTTCTATTCAGTTGGACCACATGTACAAAATTAAGAGTGGACCATGCATAGTTATATGTCCAGCCTGAAATACACACTCGTGCACTCACATAGCCACATATATGCATAGAATAGATACATGTGTGTGTGAGATAAACCGCACAATTTGGGATATCATTTATCAATGAAGATAACCGTTACATGTACTCAATTATCTATGTAGTATATAATAATACGTAGTAATAAATTAATAATACTCCATAAATAACAATATTATCTACAAATAATAGAAATAGTCTTTGAGTAGTCATCTGCATGGGCGTCGGCTATTGATGATTCTAGCTAAAAGGTTTTGGGAAAGATAAGAAAAAACATAACCAAAATATAGAAGATACGAGGGAAAAGACACCATTCATGATGTCACGTTCAACGCAAATAGGGTGCATGGCTAACTACCTTTTCGATTATCTTTAGATAATAATGTTATTTATTAAAGGAATCAAGACACATTTGAGAGTTATTGAAAAGAATTTTTGAAAGTCCACGATTCATTAAAGGAGTGATTTTGAAGTCAAAAGAGCTCAAAGATCAAGTATGAGATCAAACGGGGACTAATAGAGCTTGAAAACGGTGATCGGGATGACGTTCTGTGAATCGTTCGAGCATAACATTTCGTAGAAACATCCAAAGTACAAGATTCAAGTTTCATATGAAAAATAACTTAAAGGGAGAATGTGAGAGGATCAAGGTGAAAACAGATGAGGAAATCAAATGATCGTTGTTAAGATATCAGGATGCGGCCTTCCACCATTTTATTCATATTTTTAACTGGATGATCCAATCCCAGTGTTGCAAGTTGTGGTGGATAGAGGATTTCATTATCTACAGCTTTGGTGCAAGAAACATAGTCAAATTCGAACGGGAAAGGCACACATTGTGCGCACGAAGAACGCACGCCGTGCGTGGAAGAAGAAATTACGGAGAAGCTACTCGAGGCCACGCATGCCCTACGCTGCGACTTTCACGCTCAGGGTGCTCTGGAGGCACGGGAGACACACACGCCGGGCGTGGGTGCCGTGCGTGCTGTGACACTGCACCCGAACGTCCTGGAAATTCAAATTTAATTTTAAAGCTTATGTATTGAATTCTCCTATTTTCGAACAATTGTAAAACGATTAAAGTTTTACGGAACGTATGATTTATCACTATTTTGGACTCATACAATGGTAACAGGCTTCTAAATAATTAATTGGGCCATATCATTGATATTGGGGCCCAACATCCTTAAATAAAGATATACAGCCCATCGGTACAATGTAAGAGCGGTCGGGCAGCCCAAATGTTATTTTGGGCCTAACCTGCTAAAAATAGTAATTATTCTAGAATGGCATCCTAGACCCATTGGAGGGTGATCCACACGATTGGTAGCCCATACATATTAACATCATAAACGAATGATGGAATGATTGGAGAAGAATACAAATGCCTATGGTCTCATCTTTGGCATTATTAGGCTAAATAATAGGAGTAAGGTTTTCTTTTGTAATTATACATCAAATAAATTATTGGCACCACCCTACACATATTATAGACCAATAATATGATGTAGGAGGTTGTCTTGATCTAAATAAATTGGGGAGAGTACAAAAGTACATCTTATGACAAAGGACAAAAAAATGATACGACTCACCTTTCCACTTTTGGATGTATTGGTAGATATTTTGCTCTCAAATTAATTAGGGGACATGAGAGTACTCCCCACACCTTCCTAGAACCTGCAAAACAAGTAGAATAAGTTAGAACTCATAAATGGGGCGGACCTATTGAGTTGAGAGCTCAAACAATACAAAAGAGAAATAAAAGAGGAGGACCATCTCATGTTTGATTGGGATCAAATACCCTACCTTTTTTTTAGAACCACTCGTTTAGATCACATATGAGAACTTATAAACACCTCCTCTCACCCCTCATTCGAAATCCGAAGATAAGGAGCCGCACAACCCCAGAAAAAGAAGAAGAAGAAGAGCTGGCCGCAGGAGTTTTCCAGGTGCGTAGGCCTCCTTGTTCGACTCATAACTTGAGTTACACTCATCCAATTAAATCGTGTGAGAAGCCCTCTGGAAGATCTAGAGAAGAGGAATTCATAGGCGTATGGTTTGAAGGAAACGGAGCAGATTACGTCCTCCAAATCTTCCGAACACAACGAAACCTCGCAGAATACATGTGTGGTATTCAAAGTAAGTTTGAATCCAAAATCTTCCTTTCTATTGCCAAAATCCTTTTGAATGGTTGAAGAACTATTATACACTGTTTTAGGTGTATAAAATGTTATTATATAGTAATTTTTATTGTTGGAAAGGTTAGATACTAACCTAGACAAAACCTTGAAAGGTTAGGGAACGAATTCGCCGGAAAACACCCGTTCTAGAGACTGTTTTCGTGTTGACGTTTAGGGGTTGAGATAGCACTGTGAGGAGGCTGTTTAACACTCATTTTTTAAGCAAGGAATCAGTTCTTAATCCACCTTGGCCGAATCTTTGATCATTGGATCAAAAAGGAGAAATTTAAAGCTCATTTGAGGTGAGGATCGACATCTAGTTGCTTACAACTTGTAGGTTAAGCATGAGATTACCTAAATGCCTAAATCATGTTTTTTCATGGATTATAATGACTGATTATTGATGAAATATTGATATATTAGATAAGTAATGAAATTGCAAATGATTTGGAAATCATATTGATAAAAATGGAGTTAAATGAACTATTGTGTGGAATAGGCATTTTTACTCATGTGTGAATTGTGTAGATACATAAATGATTATTTGTGTATTACATTGGATGACTAAGTTGCTGCTACATATTTCTAAATATGTAGGGATTTACAAATGAAACATATGATTGATGGGAATAATCTTAATAGTATTGGAATACTAGTTAATGATTGTTTGTAATTGTTAAGAAATTGAATCTAAGGATTTGATTGTAAGTGATATACTTGAATGTGGTTCAAGTGAGTAAATTGTTGTAATGTGATGCTAAGATCATGATAAGGCAGTCCGTAAGGATGTCCCGAAATAGATTATTGATATTACAATTCTAGGCACAGTGAGTGCTTAAGAATTGGGGTCTATGCCAATGCAAGGAGATGTACTTGAGCCCGATGCTCTAGAATTGCATTGGGTAGACATAAGGATTAGGTTCAGCCCATGTAAGGAGATGTACTTGAGCCGAGCTCTAGAATTGCATGGGTGAACATGACGTTGGAGATTGGTGGAGTAATTGACTTGTGATTGATGTGCATGGTGATGTAGTCGAGTTGGACTCGAGAAATGCAAACATGTGGGTTATGGTTGAACCCTATGTATTGTCGTGACTAGGGGTCACGGGGTTTGGTTTATGTTTTGAAAATGAACTTGGGCCATGGGCCGACTACTTGACTTTATATATAAAGTAAGTATATTTTAAAAAGGGGTAACTTGGGGTTACGATCTAGAATTATATTATCACCCTATTTGAGGGTCTTGTGTTTGAAATACTTGTTGTATATCTATTAGATGTCATCCACACCAGTACTTTATAGGCGTATAGAGTACTGACCCCCTTTCGGGGGGCGTCCCACCACCATTTCAGGTTGAGGCTAGAGCTTGCTACTTGTGCTTGTTGATCGGGCGATCATTTCGGAGGGGAAGACTTGGTTCGTGCTTCCTCCATTTTGATTTTAAACATTTTAAAACATG